AAAATCTTGAAAAATTAAAATCGAGAATGGGGGGGGTTCCCTTAAAGGACAAAATGTTCTGCAAACAAATTCCTCCTTCGATTTTACTAAAGAAATGTAATATCCAAAAATACAATTTATAGAAGTCAATTTGTCCATAATAAGAATTAGGATTAAGAATATATATTTTTTTTAACGAACATTTTATTTTAGATGTATCTCTTTCCGATGGCTAGCTAGTCTGAGTTTCCTCGGATTCATTGTCCTAAGCTTTTTTTTTATATATTTGTCCTGTTCAATGAAGATATATCGTCTGGAGGTATAACTAAGTCATTGGCTTACAATTTGCTTCGACAACAGCTAATTCTTTGGGCCGTAGTTCTCGTCAGAGTTAGGCACTGATAGAATGGACAAAATACAATAAAAATAAAAGTCCTACTAAAGATATTCTGTATACAGAAGTTCTTCAGAAGGTTGTTTTGTCTAAAAAAATTCTATAGTATGTGCATACGGATGACCTATAAAAAGCCGTGATATCTTAGAAGGTCTTCGGCGTACAGAATACTTTAAGGAAGTCTTCATTAAGGAAGCCGTCTTTAGGATGCGCTTCGTCTTCCGGCTATGAATACCATCACAGGAACATCTGTTCAGAGTATTCCAACAGTTGGTATTCTGTCTATAGAAAAGTTTCAGAGTGCATTTTATATGTTTTCTCTTTTTGCAAAACAACCTAATTGACTGATATTTTGATATACCTACCAAAAATCCTCAGTTTAAGTTCATCTTTAGATATGTTCCCTATGAAAATGTCTCGCCAAAAAATAGGTACACATTGTCAAAGTCAAGATGAATACAAATATTCCTTGGAACATATTTATACCCTACACAACTATGTTGTCAGGGTATTATAGCTTTGTGCAGCCCCAAAAGTATGTAACGCCGCGAAATATTGGTCCTACACCCACCTTTAAGTATACCGATCGTCATATCTCGACTAGCTGAGTCGATCTAGACATGTGTGTCCGTCCGTCCGTCCGTCTGTCCATTATAATTTGTAAACACGATACAGGCCACAGTTATGGACCAATCTTCACGAAATTGTGCATGTAGGATGGGTTCCGGCCAATGAAGACCCCTATTGTTTTTGGGAAAGATCAGTTAATATTTAGAGGGTGAAATGGACCAAATACTAAATTTTTGTCGGTTTTTCTGGTCGCTCCAGAGGCCGCAGTTATGGTCCGAACATCGTGAAATTTTGCATGGAGAAGGGGATCGGGCCAAAGAATAGGCAAGCCAGTTTTGATAAAGATCGGTCAATATTTAGCGGGTCAAATTGACCCTGACTTTTGTGTGAAAAATTACAAAATTTGTATTCTATAGCGTATATATTTACCCCTGAAGGACATAGACCCGAGAAGTTTATATTATATCCAAGAGGAGTGGTTGACCTTTAAATTAATACCAATTATATTGTTGTATGTGCTCGGATGTGGGAGTTACACCTAAATATTTACAGGTATCTCCGTATTCGTATATTATTTAGTAACCCATTATCACTCTAGAGAGCGGAACTATAGCTGATCGCTTTGAAATGTTGCATGATGTTCCAGTTATGGCCAAGGACAACACGTATAATTTTCGGTGAGATAATAATTTTGGAATGAAGTGGACCGAAAACTTAATTTTTTGTGTTATTTTCGAGTCGATCTGTAGACCAAAAATGAAAGCCGAACATCACAGCACAACCCACGGTGAAGGGAATCTGGACAATAGCTGTACTGAATACTCGTAATATTCGGAAAATATGTCAGTGTGAGGAAGATGTGCTATTTACCTCTAATCGGGCAAAAGGGTGCAAATATCACGAAATATTGCCCAGGCTCGGAATAAACATCCACAGAAAATTTAAGTTCCGTGGTAGTTGTGTAGGGTATCGTATGGTCGGCCCCGTCCGACTATACTGCTCCGCTCACTGGTTTGAGATATATCCAATATACATATAGGGGTCTCAACTGATTTCATGTATTTTGATTGATTAAATAATAACATTGTTCGATAGAAGTTCGAAGAATTTTAAAAGCTCAGAGATACGTTCTACTTTTTAGAGGTTTGATGAAGATTTTTTTTTTTTTTTTTTTGACGAAGCCAATGTCAGGTATACTTCTTTCCACAGTATGACTGAAAACTCCCTTCTACACTTGGAAAGCCTGATGAGATTCTTAAGCCTGCGTTTAAAAAAAATTGAACAATACATAAGAGCTATAAGCGTAGACTTCTTAGAGAATCTTTGTCAACCGCCTAGAGACCTATGGTCTTATAGGCGTCAATTAAAAAATCTCAAATTCTTGAATGAGAATAAGCGTGGATTTTGTTTTAAAGAAAACTAGGTCAAACATTTATAAACCTTTCAAAGACCTACCGTAAATCTGTAAATCTTCTGCAGAAGGTCATCTGCGTATAGATGTCATCTCTAAAAAAATTTCCGTAGAGTTTTGCGCTTTTAAAAGACCTGCATAAGATTTCCTGTCTATAGAAGGAATTCGGTTCATAAAAGACCTGCTAAATGTCTTCAAGGCCATTAGAATGCTAATAGATGACCCTAAAAAGATAGATATATATAGCTCTTCACCAAACCTTCTATCTATTAAATATTTTCATAAGGTAATCTGTATATAGATGTCCTGCAGAATGTCTCCTCTCTATTAAAGATCGGCAGAAGATTGTCTATCTATAGAAGACCTGCCAAAGGAATTTTTTTTTTGTAATTTTCTTTGTCTATTCTGTCTGTAGATGTTCTTCTGAAGCTATCAGCCCTGTAGAAGATATGCAGGTATCCTACTATATATGAAAGAGCCTCAAATAGTTTTCTGTCGATACAAGATCTTCAGATAATCTTGAAGGCCTATAAGAGGCCTCTAAACTGGGCATAGTGAATAAAGACCTGTTGCAGTATACATTCAGATTGTGTTACTTTTACAGATGACCCTTATAAGGTATTTTGTTTATAAAAGACAGGACGTTGTGAAGAATTTCGCACAATATATCATTTGTCTATAGAAGTCCAGTGTAAGCGTTCATGATGTAGAAAATCGGCAATAGTCTTCTGTGTAGAAAAGCAGAAGACCCTATCTGTTCGTAGAATACCTTTCTTCCACCTTTTGAATGTTGTCTGTCTATGGAATACAATGAGAAGGTCTGCTGCTTAATATTGTCTGTCAGTAGAGGTTCCTGAGAAGGTATTCTGTTTATTAAAGACGAATAGAAGGAATTTTTCCTATAGAATGTCTTCTGACAAAATATATTTAGTTATATACGACCATGAGATGAGATCGGGAAAATAGTAAACATTAGTAGATTCAAGCAGTCCGGGAAGAGACCAATTATTTGTTCAAATATAAGTCCTGATATAGATTAGGCGAGTTTACTTGCGGAAATTCTTATGGTTTTTAATCCAATTTTTTCACATCGTAGTGGCTATAAGTTGGTATATCGGATTTATGGTAAATACATAACTTCTTTTCAAAAATTATTCAATATAGGTTAGTGTTTCAAATATGTTTAAAAATATTTCCCGTTTAAATGTCCCGTTTTATTTTCACACCTCAGTTTTACAGCCTCAGTTAGTGCCTGTAATTTGGAACATTAAGTTTGTTTTCAGCACAAGAAAAATAAAATGTGTCATTTACGTCTGTTAATTCCTCTACGTGGTAAAATTTTGCTGAAACAAATAAATAGTGGTGCAAATCATCGATTTAGAGGCTCGAAATTCAAAAAATCAAAAAAAAAAAAATCGGAAATTTTTTCACTACATCGGTTACCGACATTTTTGGGACTCCAATTTCGATTTAACTTTTATTTTAATGTCAGCAGTGATAATGTTATTTGCTTTTGAGAAGATATTTGAATCCCCATAATATCGAAATTCGGGGAGTATTTAATATGCGTGAGGGCTGCCCAAAACATTGGACCAATAATAATACTTTTTGCAGGAAAATGTTCTACACAATTAGAATCCAAAATACCAAATTACAATTCCATTGCAAAGGATACTGCTCCTTAAAAATTGTCCAAGGTTAATAATTTTTGGAAAGGGATTTGGTAGCTATACGTAACCTATGCAGGACTAAGAAGGTAAAAAACAGTTTGAATAAAGATATATACATCGGCGACAAAACCTCTTAAAATAACGAAAATTGATAGGTTATTTTTTTATATATGATGAAGCACAAAATACAAGTACAATACGGCGTATGAAGCACGTCAATATGTATACGCACTGCAGCACTAAGGATAGACATTTTTTTCGAACCTTGTTATTAAAAAAAAATTCTCATAAATAAGGAAACATGTGTGGTAATTTCTATATGGAAGTTTTCGTTTTTATAAGGCCAGCAAGACACCAATTTCTTGGTGCCTTCTTGGAAATGCTTGATAATTTTCAATCCAAACAAGTTTTATCAAAAACCCGGAATTTTAAATTGCTACCATTTCGATAGGAAAATTCGCACAGGTGGAGGTGAATATCAATTTCTTGAATTTTATTTTTAATTACAATATTTGATTTGAGATTCATATGTAGATGATTGTTGGCTAGTCTGAATAGCCTCAGCTCCATTGTCCTTCTTTCCCTGGTAAAGAAATTTCTGTTGCTGACTGACAACGGCCAAAACTGCTGCACCAATCGCCTAGTTAACACATTTCAATTCAAATGTTTTACCTTCCGGTACCAATTTTTCAAGATAATCCCTGAGACATTTCTTATATATTAAATTATTTTCATAAAAGCTTCCCACAATACAGTCCACCACATGAGATTCCTCTACTCGTTCAAAAAGTCATGCACGCAGCGGAACGTTTTGTGAGGCATTCCAAAATACACTTTACCTCAAGGCATTCATTATCATGATACCCAAATTGGGACTAAATTGAAGGTTTGTGAAGTTCTACCCTAATATTTAAAAAAAATGACAAGTCTTCAAAATTGTTTATATTTTCATATCTGTATTTCTTTGGAACACATAATGGACGAAGATGAGCAATTCAAAAGGATTAAAGAAATCTGCAGCCCATTCGAAATTAAAATTGAACAACTAGCGCAAATAAAAAATCAAATGTTCGATGAAATTAATTCAAGTTCGGAAATTCCAACAAATCTTAAGAAATCCTTGACATTTCTACAATATTTTCCAACTGGTTGTGAACATGGACGCTATTTGGTCATACATCTGGAAGATAACAATTTTCGCATACATTTATATCACATGCGTGGTGGAAATGACCCTATTGTCAGCTCAGAATTTTATGAAATTTTACCGGATCTATTGTCAGGCGGAGGAATTGAATTATTTGCCAATATTGCAAATTCGTTGCAATTGTTTTTGAAAAAATTACAATTGGAACGTGAACCACTGACGCTGGTGTTTGTTTTCCCCATCCCCTTGAGGCAGGAGAATGTGGAGGAGGTTTATTTTACGGAATACACAAAACGTTTTAATTTCAAGAAATTTTTTAATGAAGAAATCAATATTTTCAAATATTTGGATTCCACTATAAAATCTAAATGTCCCAGAGTAGAGCTGGCTGCTGTGGTAAATGAAGCTACCTCTGTGTTCTCTGCGGGATCGTGGAAGTATTCCAAGTGCTTAATGGGTATATGTTTGGGTTCGGAAGATACCAGTGTTGCTTATACAGAGAAAACCGAAAATATTCCCCCTCCAAATGTTTTATGTCCTGCAAAACCCTTTGTTATTAGCCATCTCGATTGGGGTGTTTTTGGTGAAAATGGTTGCCTGGATCATATACGCCACGAATTAGATATAGAAGTTGACAAATTATCGCTATATCCTCGGAAACGTATTTACGAAAAACTAATTTGTGGCAATTATATTGGAGAATTGGCGCGGCAAATATTTCTGCTCTGCACCCGAGAGGGTATTTTATTTAATGCTGATATTGGAAAACATTTAACGGTTCCTTTCTCATTTAATCTCCGCCACATCTGTGAAGTGCTGGCAGAATCTCCCGATAGTTTTGATAATACCCGTTTAATGTTTGATCGTTTGGGTATCATGAAGCCTATGGATAATGAATGCCTTAAAGTAAAGTATATTTTGGAATGCCTCGCAAGACGTTCTGCTGCCTTGTTGGCAGTGGGTTGTGCATGTCTTTTGGAACGAGTAGAGGAATCTCATGTGGTGGTCTGCATTGAGGGAAGCTTTTATGAAAATAGTTTAATTTATCAGGAGTTTCTTGGGAATTACCTTGAAAAATTGGTACCGGAAGGCAAAACATTTGAATTGAAATGTGTGGACCAGGCGATTGATATTGGCGCAGCAGTTTTGTCCGCTGTCAGTCAGCAACAAAAATTTCTTTACCAGGCCATGGAGGACAATGGGGCTGAAGTTATTCAGACTAGCCAACAATCAACTACAGATGAATCTTAAATAAAATAAATGTAATTAAAAATAAAATTCAAAAAATTAATTTTCACCTCCACTTGTGCACATTTTCCTATCGAAATGGTAGTAATTTAGCATTCCGGTTTCAATGACAAATTCTCTATGAGATAGGGTTCCATGAAGGCACCAATAAATTGGTGTATTGCTGGTCTCATAAAAAATGAAAACTTCTATACAAAAATTACCACACATTTGCCCTATTTATTAGAACTTTTTTTAATAACATCCGGCAACATTCTTATCGAAACTGTTTTACATTCTTAGTGCTGCCGTGCGTATGCATATTGACGTGCTTCATACGCCGTATTGTACCGTCATTTTGTGATTATTTGCATATATAAAAAATTAACCCATCAATTTTCGTTATTTTAAGTGGTTTTATCGCCGAAGTAAATATTTTTTTCGAATTTTTTTTAACATCTTAGTGCCGTCCGATGTGCTTTATACTCCATATTGTATCAGAATTTTTGCTTCAGCGTATATAAAGATATGTACATTCCATCTATTTTCAGTGAAAAAAGGTCCGAATTTAATTTTTTTGGATTTTTGAATTTCGAGCCTCAAAATCGATGATTTGCACCATATGTATGTATTTGTTTCAGCAAAATTTTACCACGTAGAGGAATTAACAGAAGTAGAGGACCAATTTTATTTTTCTTATCCTGAAAACAAAATTAATGTTCCAAATTACAGAGACTAAGGTTGAAAAACTGAGGTTGGAAAATAAAACGGGACATTTAAACGGGAAATATTTTGAAACACTAACCTATATTGAATCATTTTTGAAAACAGTAAATCAGATATACCGAATTATAGCTACTTCGATGTGAAAAATTGAATTAAAAAGTCAATAAAACCGGACGTTTTTGTGGGGAGATATATCAAAAATATCACCTACATAACAAAAATGTGTTTTACCAGCCAATAAGAGCCTCAATAATATAGCGACCGGCCAATCTTTATGTAGAGGCTATATCTAAACTTGGACCTATATAGATCATTATCATTTTCTATATATATATACAGTGGTGGTCACGGAATTAAAACATTTACTGTGGTAAACATTTTTTGATCAGCCCTCGATTCGTTTGAAGTATTTTTGAAATTTTTTTAATTCAGAACACTTTGATATACTGCACTTAAGAGATTTAGTGTGACAATGGAAAATTATTGCATGCAATTTTTCCATAAATAACGGTTTTTATGAAAATACGTCGACTTTGAAGTGGCCATATAATTAAAACATTGTGTGATTTTTTACTTTACTACATTTTTTGAAAATATTTTTAAAATAGCTCTTTAATTTAGTTAAAATACTTAAACTAAGCACCGATAAAATCATTTACTGATAAAATTTTTTGAAAAAAATTGTAAAATCTATCAAAATTGCCAATAATTTGTACAGTACACCTTACATTCAGAAAATAACCCTTATTATAGAAAATAAATGTCCGAATGCACCAGAAATTGCTAGAATTAGTAGAAAACAATAAATTATTCTCAAAATAAATAAATATTTGAAATAAAAACTGAAAAAATAGGAATTAACCTAAAAGAACGACTCAATTTCGATAGCCTTTATTGAAGAAGGCCAGAATATGTTTGCAGTATGTGAGGAAATATCGATTGATATTGGCATTTATTATACCAAATCGATTGTTCGAGTAGTACAGAATATATTTTATCAAAAAATATATCAGTCACACCAGAACGAACAGAGATCAACACCTATGTTGACGAGAAAACGTTTCTGGTACACAGCAGCATGTTTGATGGTTAACTGTTAACCCTTAAAATCTATTGAACATGACAATATTTTTCCAAAATAATATTTTTTGAATAGAATAATGCCCATTTAGTCTATTTTAGCCTAAAGGAAAGAAAAAAATTACAATTTGACAAATATTTAAAGTCTTGTGTTGAGCATCAAAAATGCTTCTGTGTGGCAGAAACTTTTACTCGTCAACATAGGCGTTGATCTCTGTTCTTTCTGTTGTGACTTGTATATTTTTTGATAAAATATATTCTGTACTATTCGAACAATCGATTTGGTATAATAAATGCCAATATCAATCGATATTTCCTCACATACTGCAAAAATATTCCTGCGTTCTTCAATAAAGGCTATCGAAATTGAATTGTTCCTTAAGGTTAATTCCTATTTTTTCAGTTTTTATTTCAAATATTTATTTATTTTGAGAATAATTTATTGTTTTCTACTAATTCTAGCAATTTCTGGTGCATTCGGACCTTTATTTTCTATAATAACGGTTATTTTCTGAATGTAAGGTGTACTGTACAAATTATTGGCAATTTTGATAGATTTTACAATTTTTTTCAAAAAATTTTATCAGTAAATGATTTTATCGGTGCTTAGTTTACGTATTTTAACTAAATTAAAGAGCTATTTTAAAAATATTTTCAAAAAATGTAGTAAAGTAAAAAATCACACAATGTTTTAATTATATGCCCACTTCAAAGTCGACGTATTTTCATAAAAACCGTTATTTATGGAAAAATTGCATGCAATAATTTTCCATTGTCACACTAAATCTCTTAAGTGCTGTATATCAAAGTGTTCTGAATTAAAAAAATTTCAAAAATACTTCAAACGAATCGAGGGCTGATCAAAAAATGTTTACCACAGTAAATGTTTTAATTCCGTGACCACCACTGTATATATATATATGCCAACCTTTAAGAACCCCTTAATAAGAAATTACATTCACGGTGGATTTAAACCTTCAAAATACCGAAAATGGGTCAGTTTTCTTATGTCGGAACTACACCAAAACGTGATTATTTTTGATAGCAAGATTCGACACCCCATGAATTTTGTGACGTTATTTTCTACCAAAGTGTGCCAATATGGGTCATTTGTTGTATACAAGTGAAAAACCAAAATAGAGTTTAAAATACCGAATATTGGGAGTCAACCGAAAACATGGTCCCAATATTGAAAATTTTTTGTAAAAAGATACTCTAACCAGGAATAACCAGAAATACCAAATGATGGATACTACCTAGATTTTCTGCTCAATGAGAATCCAAAATAAAAAATACAGTCAATTTGGTTGAAACACGTGCCCAAATTCGTCAAAATATCGAAATTTGGTATGTAGCGTTATATTGGGAGGCTATCGCAAAAAAGTGGACCAGTATTGATAATTTTTAATAGGATTTTCTAACCAATGAGGACTAGAAATCTAAATTTTACAACCGGTTTGGTTCAAAAACGTACCCAAAAACTTCAATGTACCAAATATTGATGGGGGGTACTTGACCGGAAACTTGGACCAATATTAATAATTTTTAGTACGAAGATTTTCTAACCAGTGAGGATCTCTAATATTACCGTTTAATCAATTTTTTTTGAAAAACGTACCCAAAAGCTTCAAAAAATCGAATAGTGAGGGGTATCGTTATACGGGAGCTACACAGAAACATTATCCCAATATTGATATTTTTAGTAGGAAGATTTTCTAACCAGTGAGAACCAGAAATACCAAATTATGGTCTGTTAGGTTGAAAAATGTGCCCAAAAGCTTTAAAATATCGAATGGGTACCGTTATACAGTGGGCTTATATAGATACGTTTTGGTAGATAGATTCCAAAATAATGAGAATCCAAAAGAAACCAGTAAGAAAAGCAGTAAAGTCGTACTGGACCGAGTATATAATAACCTATTTTCACGGACGAAATATATATAGAAGCTATATCTAAATCTGGATCGATTTTCACGAAACTTATCGCACATCATTCTACGCTATACCAAATTTCGTGCAAATCGAAATATATATAGGGACTTTAGTGTAGCATTTCCATAAAATGGGATGCAAATATATGTGAGAGCTATATCTAAATCTGGACCGTTTTCACGAAGCTTATCGCACATCATTCTACGCTATGCCAAATTTCGTGCAAATCGAAAGATGTATAGGGACTTTAGTGTAGCATTTCCATAAAATGGGATGATAATATATATGAGAGCTATATCTAAATCTGAACCGATTTCCACAAAACTTAGCAGACATCATTTTAGACCTAATTCAGTACGCTGTGCCGAATTTCGTGCAAATTGAAAGATATATAGGGACTTTGGTGCACCATTTACTTTAATTCGGATGAAAATATATATCGGAGCTATAACTAATTCTTAACCGATTTTCGCGAAACTTAGCAGACATCATTCTAGACTCAATTTGTTTGGCCCAAGGACGAACCCTATTGAAATTGGGGAAAATCGGTTCAGATTTACATATAGCTGCCATATATATTTTCGTCCGATTTTACATAAATGGTGCAAAAATGTCCCTATGTATCATTCGATTTGCACGAAAATTTGGCACATCGTACTGAATTAAGTCTAGAATGATGTGTGCTAAGTTTCGTGAAAATCGGTCCAGATTTAGATATAGCTCCCATATATAGGGAAATTTTTGCACCATTTACGTAAAATCGGACGAAAATATATATGGCAGCTATATGTAAATCTGAACCGATTTCCCCCAATTTCAATAGCGTTCGTTCTTGGGCCAAACAAATGATCTGTACCAAATTTTATCCAAATGTCCGACTGAGAAAGTGATTCTATGCATATTCTCAAAAGGAACCATTTCTCTATCACGTTTCCTTTTGCCTGTTACAAACATATGCACAAAGACATAATACCCTGTACCACAGTGTGGTGAAGGGTATAAAAACTGTTGTCAATTTGGTTGAAAGTCTATGGTTGGTATATTGGGGGCTATTCTAAAAAGTTCCAAAATATCAAATATTCGAGGGTACTGTTATACAGGGGTTACATTAAAACATGGGCCAATATAGATACTTTTTGTTATTGAGATTTTCTGTTCAATGATAATCGGTAACTTGATACCAGTTCTGTTCGAAAAACGTAACCAAAAGCTTCAGAGTACCGAATATTGGGCTACAGTTATATTTGGAGCTGCCCAGAATCTTGGTCCCCAAAATGGATCATTTTCGGTAGGGAGATTTTTTGTTCAATAAGAATTTTTAATATTAAATTTAAAGCAATTTTGTTAAAAAATAAGTGCACAAAAACTTCAAAATATGGAATATTGAGGGCTACCATTACATAGAGGATATCTCGAAACAGGGCCCATATTTATGATTTTTAGAAGGATCAGGTTCTAACGAGTGAGAATCCGAAATGCTTAATTATAGTTGATTCAAAATGCCGTTAACTGGGGACACCGTTATATGGGGGCTACTAGGGATAATAATTGAAAGGCACTTAGGTTTAAAAATACGGCTCAAACTTTTGAAATAACGAAAATGGGTGCTACTTTTAAGTTGGAGCTATGTCTAAACATGGTCCTAGCTATATATTAAAAATGCGATGCAATGTGTTTTTATTCATCACGGATCTGAAAATCCAAAGAATAGTCACTTTGGTTTGAACATGTGGCCAAAAGCCTTTGAAATACCTAAAATGGCTCGGTACCGCCATAAAGGGGCTATATCAAAAAGTGCACAGATATAACCTAGTTTCAATATTAAAAATTCCTTTTCTTTGTCCTCCTTACTATCTTCGCAGTATGAATGCAAAGAAACAAAGATCTCCCTCCGATTGTAAGGAGTTGAACATCATTTAACCTGACCAAGAATTTAATTCAAACGAATATTTTGAGGCTTTGGGTACTGACAAAGCCTCAAAATAACACACGCCACATAGGCTTACCAAATAATACAATATTTTCCAATAAGAATAAAATAACTTGAAAATTCGATGGATTTGGCCACAAAATAATTTAAAGTTTTTGTTGTACTCATACAATAGGCCAACTTATCTTGTCGTTGCAACAACAAGAACAATAAACAATGTATTTTATATTTATTTTGCAGTAAATCCAAATCCAACTCCACCTCCTTGTCGAACTTCCTATTCTATTTTATAAAAATATATACACCACAAAACAAACTCCAATCAGAAATGCCATTGAATCGGAAGGTTAATTGATAGTTGACCAGACATGGCAAATATCCGGATATTAAATTTTCAATTTAACAGCTGCAGCAATGCTGCGACATTTTATCAGGACGAACGAATCGTAACGAATCCAATCGAATAACAACGGCAACAACAACAACTACTACAACTACAGAAAAAAACCGAAATTGAATATCAACGGCACAGCAAATAACCAAGCGATTATCGTTCCGTTCGATGAGGGAAGAGTGGCAGTGTGTGTGTGTGGTTTTATGTGTGTGGGTTAGCAAGTGCAAACACTGGGGCGACGCGTCTCATTTCTAGTAACCTTTATAAGCTTCACATACCCGGTAATAATAATAGTGATGATGATGATGCTGAAGGGATTGCAGGGTCAGGCGATATTGGGGAAAATGAAAAGTCACAACTAAAGGTCCCCTAGTTGTTTGGTCGGTTTTTTTGCGGTTTTTAGGCATTGAAGGGCTTATAAGCGCGTCACATTTGCCATGTCATTGTACTTGCAATGTGATGATATGCTTTTAAACTATTACACGATTTGGCGATGGTAATACATGTGCCACTATTTGTATGGGTGTGTCTGTGTATGTGTGCGAACCTAGAAGGGTGGGTGGTGGCTTATAAGCTAAACTTTGATTTTGTGTTTGGCAGTAACAACAATGATATTGTTACCGCTCTTATAGCTAGTTAACCATCGAACCATGTCATGATGTTGCTAAATATGAAGGTAATGATCCAGGGGATCGAAGGCGGAATGCATGCATGCCACTGCAGGCATGAATAGGTGAATTGGTTAGGTATCAAATCGGTGTGTGTGAGATGGTATTGGTGCGTCAGATTTAATGCCAGACTAGTGTGTTTTTGTCATCACCCGCTTCCATGTAATTTTTTCCCTTATATTGTAAACTAGTTGTCGTCCGTAGATAGGTGTGTGTGTGCATGCATGAGTATGCCTGGGTCTTACCGAGACAAATCGCTGAACAATAGAATGTGTGCTAGTGTGTATAACGATGCCTTGGCTTTATTTGTAACATTGCATGCCCGTTTTGCCATGGCTGGGATAGTCGCCACATTATTATGTCAGTGAGTAGTAGATGTGTGTGTGTGAGTGTGTGTGTGAGTGTGTGTGTGCGTATACAATATATTTACAAAACGCATTTGGGTTACAATGTTTACACAAATATTTACGGATAATCTGTTGATTTCAAAGCTAAGGGATTATTATGCAATTTTTCATCGTTTCTTGTGTGTGTCTCTATGAATAGGGATAATGTGTGGGTGTGTGTGTGCGCGATTGTGTGTTTGAGGTTGTGTGCAAGTACACTCTCCTTTGTGTGTGTGTGCGTCGGAATATCATTTTGCGTTCATTGTATTACGACCACTTGTTTGTTTGTTGTTGCCATTTATTTTACTTTTTTCGGTTTTCGGTCTTTTTTCCTTCGTTTCGGAATTTCGTTGATAATAATGATGCGGATGATACTCATCGTCGTTGCCGTCATCGTCATCGTTTGTTGTTGTCCTTATCATCATTGTAACAAGGACAAGATACAGCCAACGATGCCATCGACAATAAACATTGAGTGGTTTATATATTTTTTAGTTTGTTTGTTTCTTAAGGAAGACAAAAAAGGCAAACTTCAAGATGAGATGAGGCGAATTATAATTGTGGCTTATAAAATAGCAATATTTGGTACCGATTTTTTGTTCGGGGAAAATGCTGATGTTGAGTGAAATTAGTTACAGTAGATTCAAAATATATTAGAAAACTCAGAACCAGATCGGTACAAGTAGTAAACATCGATGACTATGTACGTAAAAGTGCTCAAATCCTATCTGATCTGTTGGACCGGGTCGAAAGTACAGGTTGTACGATTGGAATATGCCACCAGTGTTTTTAACCATTTGACAATTATTCACCTCATGATAGATAATTTATTAAATTTGTCATTTCGTTTGTAACTCCTCAAATATTTCTTCGGAGACTCCACAAATTTAATAGATGTACAGGGTGTGATAAAAATCTGCAACCAAGTCAAACGCCATAATTTTTACATTTTTTTTTCAATTTTATTCAATGAAAGCTAAAAATGTCGGAAATATCATCACATTTTAGAATAAATTTAGATTTGTTCGAATTGGTCACCTTTGACACGAATCATGCAACAAAGTCAAAGGTCATATTTTTAATTTTTTTAAATTTTATGGAATGAAAGCTAAAAATTTCGGAAATATCATCAAATTTTAGAATAACTTTAGACCTTCAAACGGCCAATGGCATATGCTGCCCGAATGTTGCTCTGCGGTATTTTGGCTCATTCCCGGCGAAGCGCTTGCTTGAGGTGATCGAAACTTTGGCAGTTTTTAGTGCCAACCTTGCCCTCTCAATAGTCCAACGGATTGGTATCCGGATATATTGGTGGCCATTGTACACTGGAAATGAAGCTAGGAACCTCATTTTGTAACCGTTCTTGGGTGGCGCGTACTGAGTGCGATGGTGCTGAGTCTTGTTGGAATGTCCAAGGTCTGCGGCCAAAATGTTTGCGTGCCCAAGGCTTTAATACACCCTCCAGAATATTTTCGCAATAATATTCGAAATTTATTCTGATGCCATGGTCGATTAATACGGGCGGAGAGCGACCATAGTCTTTCTCCATGACCGGCGCTTGAATTCTTGTGGCCAACCGAAGGTGCACATTTTCAGCTGATCTCTTTAGCAAGTAAACACGATCATTTTGTTTGTTTATAAACTGCTGGACAACGAATGTTTTCTCATCGGAATAAACCAAATTCGGCAGTTCATTACATGCGGCCAAGCGAAGCAACTCTTTAGCTCTTTTTTTGGAATTTCAATGGCTTTAACCCGAGCTCATTTTTCAATATTTGCCGAATGGAATATTGCGATATGTTCAGCTCACAAGCCATTTTTTGGCCACTGCAAAGCGGGTTTCGGTCAAGTCGCTTCTTTATATTTTGAACCATCTCCGCTGATGTTGCTGTTTTCTTCCGTCGACTTCCTCGATGATACGAGACACAAAGGATTTGTTCACATTTAAATGCTGGTGTGCTCTAACGATTGTCACTTGTAGTTTTCCAGGCAAATATAAAGATCACGCTTGAATTCCATCACGAATAACTTTTCTTCTGGAACATTCCCACCAAAATGCTTTTGTACGCTTGTAAACAATATAATTAGCTGTCACTGGAAAAAATGACAGCAGTCTGAATTTAGTTGCAGTTTTTTCATTTCACCCTGTACGTCCATATTTCGATAGAACACCCATATAAAGGTCCTGTCATTTTCGAAGTTGAAATAAATTGGAATTTTGTGTTCTTAGTGGGTGGTAAACACCTTTGTAGAAAATTGCCGATATGGGTTAATGTTTTGACATAGCTTCCATCCGAAAGTTCCACTCCATTGAGCGGAATCTATCACATTTACGGTATCTTTGTGTTCTCGATAGCCTGGCAAATTCTATCTTTAAAGTTTTGAATCGATACTGGGACAGACCTTATCATTAACATGGCCTTTCAGATGGAAGGTGTTAAATCACAGGATTTATTTTGCCTCTTCGAAGAAATGTTGCCTCTTACAGGAATGTTTCCCAATAAAATATCAATGATTTCGATTCCTAACACTGTTTTATTAAGACCAAAAATAAACGTTGTCCACAAATAACTAAACACCTCTCGTTAACGCAGTCCAATCACCGTCCATCCGACCTCATTTTCGACAAAAGTAAAGTACAATGATTTCGCCGGACCATAAACCGTAGAAAATAGTCTCTCATTGATAATGGAAAGACTTCTTAAAAACTGTCGGCTGACCCACCGAGGTAGTATTTTGGATCATGTTCATGCTATTCAAGTATCCTATTAGACTTGGCGTTGTTGATGATCGGTTGGCTTGAGTTCTTGTGCTAACTGTACTTTACATGCCTTAACACTCAAGTAAGTATTCAATGGTGGAACGATAAGGAATCTAATTGTACTAAATTTAGTAAAAATTCGCATATGTCGTATACATTTCGAAGTCATTTCCTTATGTTAATTCTATGCATTAACAGCAATCTCCAGAACCTTCGATATTTCTTATCATAAAATGTATCTATACATATGTGTATGTGTAAAAATAGTATTAAAACAAGCGTAACTTTAGATTGATCGCAAAAATTTTTAAACTTTGAGGTTATGAAAGCATTAAATCCGTGGGCAACGTTTGGCAATTGAAATAAAAATTGATATTTGTTTATTGAACCGTCCTTAATCTAAATAACCTAATGTGGTATTGCGGATTTGTGCGGGTTTTTTAATTATTTCCATTTTTGTATGTTAAACCATTTACTGAAACGCGAATTAATTTGAATCTGAAATAACTGGAGTAGAGGTAAATCTTATAGTAGTGTTTGGCGGGTTATTTGGGATACCATTTGTATTTTGTTTTTGCAAAATAGTCAGGCTTAATCGCAGTTTGTTGTTTTTATAAAAAACAACTATTTATTAGTGGGGAATGTATGGCATTGTCCGCCGAGGGGTAAGGCAGGGAAGACTATAGTTTCGGATCTCGCCACTGATCCTCATCAGTTCCCTTAGTTTTTTGTTGGGATATTCTCCCCAGAAGCTATTAATAGCTTCTTTACAAAAAACCTTTCAAACCCAAATGTCTCTTGTCACAATTCGAAGTTCTTACGTTACCTGCGATACGACCCCAATGAGAAGTTCGTTTCGTTGGCGCCTGACTTCGTGGTCAACAAGGCATTTACAGAAAGGTTTTTTGTAAAGAAGCTATTAATAGCTTCTGGGGAGAATATCCCAACAAAAAACTAAGGGAACTGATGAGGATCAGTGGCGACATCCGAAACTATAGTCTTCCCTGCCTTACCCCTCGGCGGACAATGCCATACATTCCCCACTAATAAATAGTTGTTTTTTATAAAAACAACAAACTGGTAAATCTTATATTTCGCCTCAAAAATTTTTTTTAATTTAATTATTATGTCAGTTTTCATTAGATTTAAACATATTTCGAACTTATTGTTATGAAACAGCTAATTTAATATTGACGAAATATTCTTGGCTGTCCATGACTGCTACTGTCAATAAGGTACAAATTCATGTACTTCCATTAGGGGTTCTTGGAGAAGATGCTGCTATAGGTTACATCACGCTCGTAAGAGCAACCGAAAGAATAACATCTTAGATATATTTACTAGAGCCTTTCATACATTAGATCATTTAATATCCTCTAATAATCAATTAGATTAATCAAACGCATGTAACAGTAAAAACGTTAAAGCTTGAAATGATTGAAGTGTTAAAATGTCAAAATTCTCGAATCTCTAAACTAAATTCGACTGTTTCAGAGATTTCAATTCATCAATAGAATCAAACTATTAAAGATGAAGACAGATCACTGCATGATATTCCATATTTTTATTTATTCACAATAATAAGAATATATATAAATAAAATGTTATCAAATATATGAATTAAATTATTTTGTCCCCAAAGGCTTAATACATTAATGACTTAAAGGGTTAATTTCTAAAAAAAAATGTTCCATTATTCTTTCAGAAAGTTAAGAAAGCTATTCTGGTTATTTTTTCAATTTTATGACTTTTGGCCACAAAAAATGCCACTTTGACCTATAGTGCAATGTACGGAATTCAAGCTGTTTTTGTACTAATTGAATTTTTATATCTATACTAATAAAATAGTAAAGTGATTGACTGATTGGGGTTATGTATAATGTTCTGGAAATTCGTACTATTGTGTACAAAATGGTACCAAATTTGGATTTAGGTGAATCGATAGAGCTGGAACACTGAATTTTGGAAATACGGTTACTGTTGGAGTATAGGATTTTGGAAATACGGTTACTGTTGGAGTATAGGATTGGGCTATGGATGTAGTTTTTTAAATTTAAACTTATGTGTACTAAGTGGTACTAAATGTTGTACAATTTGAATTTTGGGTGAACCGATAGAAGTGGAATCCTGAAATTTGGATTTAGGATCATTGTTGGGGGGTAGGATTGGGGTTATGTAGAATTTTCTGGAAATTCATACTATTGCGTACTAAATTGTACCAAAATTGGATTTGGGTGAACAGATTGAGCTGGAACACTGAATTTCGGAAATACGGTTACTGTTGGAGTATAGGATTGGGCAATGGATTTAGTTTTGGAAATTCATAATTTTGGGAACTAATTTGGAATTTTGGATAAACCGATAGAAGTGGGATCCTGAAATTTAGAGTTAGCATTATTGTTGGGGGGTAGGATTGGAGTTATGTAGGAAGTTTTGAAAATTCATACTAATGTGTTTTAAATGGTACTAAATTTGGTAAAATTATATTTGCGTGATGCGGGCTGGAACCCTGAAATTGGAAAATAGTAATTTCTATTTGATTTGATTAATGTGTACTAAATGTTGCTAAATTTGGTAAAATTAAGATTTGGGTTAACCTAATCATGGAATTTGGAATTAGGTAAGAAATGGTCCCAAAACTAGTATGGAGCTACATTGCTGTTGCGGTCAGAATTGGTGTGTAATGTTGAGATATGAGAGATATAGCGAAGTAGCGGGTATAACCTAGTATTTTTATTATTTGGTAACAGTACTACGATTTTTGACGTTTGGATTAAATCAAATCGATCACCAAACTAATGGAATAGTTTGGTGACGGATATACATATTTTCCAAATGTTGACACTTTGTGGGGACAGCACCAGAATTAGTGAACGAAGTGCATATGTATGTAACAGGCAAAAGGAAACCAGATAGACACATGGTTCCTTTTGAGAATATGCACAGAATCATAGCATATTGAATTTAGCCTAGAATGATGTGTGCTAAGTTTCGTGAAAATAGGTTCAGATTTAGATATAGCCCTATGTATATTTCGTCCGATTTAATGTAAATGATGCACCAAAGTCCGAATATATTTTTTGATTTGCACGAAATTTGGCATAGCGTACCTTCGAGGGAACATTGACAAATAATTGTAAGGATACATATGTACAATATACCCAAACTTGTGAAGGGTATCATATAGTCGGCCCAAGTGCGGTCCATTAAGAACCATTGATGACATAGCTCACACTATATATGAGATACATTGGGGACATTTCTCTTTTGGCTGAAGTTTTCAAAGTTAAATTTTCCCAAACATCAAAATCCGTATCAGGACAGATATTCAAACGAAAATGATCCACAGAAAAATCCACAAATAAATCCGTGATCTTTTAAAACAACATTTTTGCCAAATTTAGGGCTTTCGGCAGGCCAGTTCCCGCCATTCTAATAGATGGATTTTCGCGAAGATCAAAATGTCAGCATTTTCGAAAAACTATATAAAGGATGTACTCCTCATTTTGTAGGCTTCTACATTTACTTTAGCACGAAGGGCGTGAAAATAGTGGCTTAGTCACAAATCGAGGAAAAACATAAAAATCCTGGGTGGCCTCACCCTGTTTTTACCTACTTGGTTACAATAAAGTAGACACAGATTCCACGAAAATAAACTCTGCAAACATTACAAAATGTTTGCAATGACAAATCAATATATCCGAAACGATTAAATTTGTCTCATATACTTTCATAATTCCCGATGTATAAATTTGTGAACCTCGGCTTCAGCTATTTGCAATGCATGGCCAATATTGTCCATTTACCATCATTAGCCATAAGGCTGAGGGTATAAATATGGCTTCTCTTAAACGATGCATTGCTATTTAAATGCCCATGCTGATCCCATTTTTAAAATAAACCTTCAAAGAACAACAACAACAAAAAAGGCAAATCCATCCTTCTTAGTTCTCAACAGATTGTTTTTGGGCTTAAAATGACGGAGAAGAAGATTCTTTTTAGACATTTCTCTTTTTCCTCTCTAGCTGAGTGCAGGCGGCATCTTGAACATTGTGTTGGTTTAGTTGCCACGAATGTGTGTATAGGTATGCGCGCGTGTGTGTGTGAGTCTGTTTGTGCAACAATTGTAAATAAATTTACAATTTGTTA